TTGTGAATAATACAGAAGATGTCGCTAGCAAGTGATATATGGCATTTTGCAATAAACATCGTCTGTGGTGTCAGAGTGTTTCACGCGAAATGTGCACAGCTACTCTTTTGATCGTGTGTACCAGTAGTGCTTACAAAACACAATGAACGTACGTACATGACACACAATGAACGTACGTACATGACACACCGACCTATCATTTGTGCCACCTTTGCGGGTACCAGAGAAGAAACATTTACACAAACACACTCTAAAATTACAAGAAATTAATTACAAGTTTCATATGAGTATAATACAAGGACCAGGTAGACGGTGGTAGGATGGGTCACGTGCGATAGGAAAACCCCAGATAATTTACACTAATAAATAAAGCAGAACAATTTGACTTGACGAAAGTCTAGTTCCCACCCTGGTCGTGTTCTCTCGGCAGCCACCAGGAGGTTCAGCTGTCATGTTCCGTCCACCAGGACTGACGTGTGAGCCTGATCACCTCCCTCACACGCCAGTTTTTCCTCCTTCAAACATAACTAGCTTGGACATTTTTCTGTGCCACAAAACACATTAATTGGTCACAAAATTCTTCACGAATAGATAAAATCTCTTATACTACTGGAATGAGGACTGATGCTTAGATGATAAATGGTTTCCTTCTTCTGGCCAACGTAGTGTTACACTGTAGAAGATCTACAGTAGCAGCTGGTTCATGTTAACATCAATTATTCCGCGATAACTATATTGTTGGCTGGAGACTATTGCAACAGGCAATACCTTGGCCACTTGATTCTCGCTCAGGGATCCGTTGGTAACTGCTCTGGGCCCGTTGGACATAACACTAAACCCTTTGTAAATAGCAGAGGCGTGCGTGAGTACAGAACCAGTTTGCCTTCGTGACTATGACTCCGTCCATCCCAGGCGGTGATCCTGGCTGGGACTGGGAGTGAGGGAGGGCGCGTGTCGGGGGCGTGGGGGAACTGGATGAATGCCGGAGAACAACAACCCCGGGGTGAGTCTTGTCCCGGATGTATCTGTGTTAACCAGAGATTCTGTGGTGTAAAAAAATAAAGTAATAAATAATAATGGCAGCATCGCAACTAACACTAACCTTACTATAACTTATTTCATCCCAGTTGTTTGGTTGTTTTTTCCTTAGAGACTTCACCTGTCAGAGTTACTATCAATGTTTATTTCCAGAATTTAGCTCTGTGTTTTGGTTGGTTAAGCTAGGTTTGATTAGGAGAGGTTAAGCCAGTTATGACAGGTTACGATTAGATAAAGAATGATTAATCCCTGATGCAAGAGAACGATTCTTGTTTTCTCATCTCTATTACACAATTCCTGGCCAAGGAAAATTTATTCTCGGCGCCCCGGACCAACTGAGGTGGTGGATACAAACTCCTGGAGCATTTCCATATAAATACCCTCTCCGGCGCCCGCAGTCTAAAGGCTTCGTAAATTAAGCTACAATATCCATTAACTAGAAACAAAGAGATCGTAATCTAGCTGACTCCCGTAAGTTAGGACAGAGAGGTGTCGACACTACATAACGTAACTAAACGTGTCCTCTTATTCTTGGGAGCATAATATTAACACAAAAAATCTTGTGAATTCAGACCCTGACTCTTGTTACAGCTTCACTCTACACGGACCGTCTCCTGTAAGTGTCCACCTTAACTAATGAACCAACTACAAGTCACTTCATTAAAATTCCTTTTCACACTGAACTCAAAAATTTCAATGATTAACCGAAGGCACAAGGGTAAAAAATTCCATCCAAAGAAGACCAGTCACATTCTCCAACCCAGTGCCCTCACGCGGAGAATCAGGCATCACTGCCCACAATTCATTACGCACAAACGTAATCTGCTCGGTGAAAGGAGATCATTACCAGCTGACGAGCCGAGACGACCCCCACAAAGCTGGCCTCCGCCCCCCACCCACACCACCAGAAGGACACTACCAAGAGGCCGCCACTGCCGGACACCGAGGCAACAAAGCCAGATAATGGCGCCAGAGACACATCATCCCGCTGTGAAATTAATTAGAGACAGCCTAGCCCTGCGATGTCATTAATCCCGTGGATACATTAGCAAGTTAAAACAGGCAACCCAGCAGGGCGCACCCAGAACTCACGGCTCCTACGGAGGGAGTTCAGGCACGTTCCTAACTCCCTCACCACATCATTACACCCACCTTCCTCCCTCTCACCTTTCTCCATACTCATCCTCCGCTCTCCCTCACCTCTCCCTCACCCCTTCAACTCTCACCCACGTATCACTTACCTTTCCTCCCCTAAAGACTCAAGTTCCTCCCTACCGCCGCTCTCCTCTCGCCTACCTTCCTCACCTTCCCTTCAGCACCCGTGTCCTCAATCCACTTCCCTTACATTCACGTGACAATGATGTTAAACAGCCCAGGGGTGTAGGGTGTAGCTGTTGCCTAAGACGGTGTATGCTGTAGATATCATATAGACGTAAATAGAGTACTATATGTGGGGTTATGTGTCATACAGGTGTAGCGAAGGGTGGGGCGTATAAAGGGGTAGCATGCAGAGGAACAACCTATATGACTGCTGCGTTGAAAAAGGAGGCGTTGGTGAGGCAGTGACTAATGAACGCGTGTCCTGTGCGTGACGGTACTGCCACGGCAATTTAACACACACACACACACACACACACACACACACACACGCACACACACGAGAGAAATTCCACTACAGACATAATCACTTGGAAGTGTGTACACAGCCAGGAAGAGTGACGTGTGTGTGTGTGTGTGTGTGTGTGTGTGTGTGTGTGTACCTGGAGTCATTGGTGGGGTGTAAACAGAGAAGGGTGGGGGGAGGTTTAGGAAGAAACAAAAGACGTGGTGTGACATGTGATCAAGTACAGTGACGGTGACAAGTGTAAATATGTTAATGGGAAGAACAAGAATGAATAAAACATGAGGGAACAGGAGGAAACACACACACACACACACACACACACACACACACACACACACACACACACACACACACACACACACACACACACACACACACACACACACACTCAGGAAACCCTCAGTGTCCAGAACCTTAAGCGCAAAAAATGGCCACTGTTCAATAGAGAGAAACAGACAGACAGACAAAAGCACCACATCAACTCACTTCGGTCTGAGAAACTATAGTGATATTTGCTGAACTGGGGAGGAAAAGACATGAGTGGGGGGTGGGTAGGGAGTGAGAAAGGGTGAGTGTGAAGTGGAGATGAAAGAGAGGTGTGAGTGGGGGTTAGTGAGGGGGTGAGGTGGGTGGGTTGGGGGGAGGCATGTGTAGAGGGTGGGTTGGGATGAGGGAGAGGTTTGAGTGAGAGGCGGGTGGCTGTGTGGGAGATGTGTGAATGGGTGGGTGGTGAGGGATGGAGAGATGTGGGTGGGGATGTGTGAGTGGGTGGGTGGAGAGTGAGGGTTGAGAAAGAGGCGTAGGAGGGTGAGGTAGGATGTGTGAGAGATGTAGGTGGGTGCAGAGTGAGGAGGAGGAGGAGGAGGGAGTTAACGTCATTACAATTATTACCAGTTGACCTACGGCTATGGCGACCCTCCCTCCCTCCCTCCCTCAGCTCCCAGACATCTTCTCGCCGCACCTTTCCCACTAAATAACTAACTAATGCCGTCCCCAGTAACAACCCACAACATCAGCGATATTTACCTTCATCACCACACAACTAACTGGTGGCTAATGACATGATGAAGGGAGACAAAGGCTGTGCTGGGAGGACATAAGTAGCTTGGATCACTACCTCAATACAGCTCAAGTCTCCAGCAGCAGCGTCCAGCAACTCAAGCCTAACCACCAACACCACCACCACCCCCTCCGGCCTGGTGGTGCTCCCGGTGCTGGTGATGTTAAAAGTGATCACGCTGCTTTGTGATGCTGGTGTAACAGTCTTGTTGTTTGGTGGTGGTAGTGAGGATGCTGCAGCTAGCAAGTGACGCACAGTACCATACATGTGAAGCACTGAAGGATTATTATGCAAAGGGAGAGTCCCAGTACCTATAAGTGTGAGATATAACTTATGTAACTTATGAACACACACACACACACACACACACACACACACACACACACACACACACACACACACACACACACTTTCTCTTAATTCGCTGTTATTCACTCATTCTTACCGTTATAGTAGATGTGTTGTAGCAAAATACAGTACAAGATGGCTTAAAAGGCTCACCCATGATGTTTCCCATAACCCAGCAGCAGCACGTCCACCCCCCCAAACACTTGTCATGCTATCCGCTCACCCATGCACATCACTGCCTCCTGGTTGTCCGTCTCCTTTATTTCTAATGACCTTTACCCTATTTTTTTTAATCTCCATCTTGGTCTTCTCCGTCCCCTCTTATCCTACACCTCCAATGCTTCACTTCAATTCTTTCATATGTCAGTATAATGTGAGCAACACCTTAACTACTCTATCCGACTTCCACACCTCTTTAAATCTTTATTTCTTATTCTGTACATCTTATTTGTCTTATATATATATATATATATATATATATATATATATATATATATATATATATATATATATATATATATATATATATATATATATATATATATATATATATCATCTGCATCCTGTATCAGTATTCAATAACTTACAACCTTCCGTCTACATTACTGCTTCCTTCCACCTCTACAGAACAACAGTCACATCTCTGAACTTTACATTAACATCTATTAAACGATTTTTCTAGGTCCCTCTTCTCCAATACTACAATGGTTTCTAACATCATCAGCCGCCAACTTTCATCACTTATATGGACATTAATAGCCAATAAACATGTTGTGTTGATAATAAAAACAGCAGCACCGTGAGTTTTCAGAATACTGTACGTCCATTGGTATTAAATGTACAATAGAATGATAATGAACAATAGGGAGTAAGTGTACAGTTAATAAAGTTAAATATACAATATACAACACAGACGCGTATACAACTTACCCTCACACTGTTGTCTTAGTACAGGCACCCTCAGCCTCGACGCCCTGCCTGGAAAAACAAACAAAAACCTTTATTAAACACCAACATTAAGACTCATTAAACTACGGTTAATGACATACAAGATGATTGACTAAACATAATGATAACCAATAGTAGCCAGCACACACACACACACACACACACACACACACACACACACACACACACACACACACACACACACACACACACACACACACACACACACACACACCTACTCGAGGACCAGGTCATGCCGCCTAATGGCTACTTAACACAAGAGTATCATCACTAGCAACCAGATTAGACTATAAGTATTACGGTCATTAGGCTAAAATGCTAATTATAACCTGTGGAACCCCCCCATCACCCTCGCCACGTCAAGGTAACGACAAGTGCAGTAAATGGCTTGGGCAGCAGATTACGACCATTACAGGTACAGTATTGTAGATGGAGGGAAAGTGAAGATGAAGGAACTATAATTAATGTGCATTATTCCGTCGTTTTGGTTAGCTGACGCTGATGGTTCTTGTAGTAGTGTTATCGGGTACATTAGCTGGTTACTTACCTCGGCCTTACTAACCTACTTGTCGGATTATCCTTAATAATACATGAATAAATATATAATTCTACTACTTCTACTAATAATAATAATAACAACGACACTGAACAAATAAGCAACTACAACATGGCCCGTAACTAACAGCTTGAGTCAATAACAACCTCTACCTTGTACCCATTATCTTCCTCTACCTACAACCTTGATGACACACACACACACACACATACACACCATTTGTGAGAGAATTACTACACCACGTCAAGCCCCTCATAACACCACCTGTGAGAGAGTTACTACACTACGTGTCTGCTGTTCAACACCTCAGCTCACATGATCTACGTGTGTAAACATTACTCTGTATGTTCACTGTATGTTCCTTCACCTTTCTCTAATGAAGGCTTTTGTTAAACCACCAATGTATGTAATAAGTCATTTATGTCCAATGTATATTTTCAGCCTTCGGGCTGCAAACTTTTTCAATAAACCGTTTATTATTATTATTATTATTATTATTATTATTATTATTATTATTATTATTATACAGAGTAATCTGGTCTCCCAATTTCAAATAAAAGTAAATACTTCCCTTATGGTGACACCTACACTTCCTTGTCTCACAGGAAGAAAACACACTGTAGGCAACAAGTGGTTATAATCCCCCCTCCCTATTAACACTCAAAACAAGTAAACAATTTAATGTAATATATAAAAATTTATCAAAACATCAACAAGTAGACAAATATATCATTAATGAACTAGTAATGGTAAGAAGGTATTAAATATAACAGTGAGAAATTAAATGCTGCCTCAAATAGTCATCCAAGGAGACAGTACGAACTTGCCACTACTAGATACTCGTTGTCTTACCGAGTTCCTGGGCCAGTCAAGGGGAAAGCGCACACACACACACACACACACACACACACACACACACACACACTTGTTTATGCCAGTATGTGAGGCTGACCCGGTAAGTTAATAGAGTGAAAGGTGCACCAACCAGCCACTACATTGTTTGTTTTTCTGCTCGTAGACATCGGACTCTCTGGCATTAGTGAGTGAGAGAGGCATGGGGAAGAAATGTGATAAACAGGAAAGAAAAAACAGCCATCATTAATAGAGCTCAACAAACGACGAGAGAGAAAGAGATAAAGCAAAAAGTTCTCTCAGAGGATGGGAACAATTGTCAACAGGAGTATAATACCTTAAGGCCAGGTATTACTTCCTAACCATTAGTGGATCAGTTCAGCTGTGGTCTTCTGGGTTCAATAAATGTTCATTATATTTATCCCACATCATCGTGTTACTGTTATGGATCACCTGAACATTAGACACCCCCCAGTTTATTTCACCTGAAGATTAGCCACCATAATGCTACATGTGGAGGGGGTTAGGTTAGGTTAGGTTAGCAAATCTCCATTTCTAATAAGATTAATTTACAAGAATCAGAAGTACCAACGTTGTAAGCTCCAGCAGCCACACACACACACACACACACACACACACACACACACACACACACACACACACACACACACACACACACACACAGAATGGTTGCCCCTAGTGTAATCGAGGATGGCCGGCCCAAGGGCCACCAAGGCGTGAATTATTTAATGCGTAGAAGCTGTCGCCAACACAACAACCACACCCTAAGTTAACAAGCTGCATGACCTAGTGTCAAGGAATAGTCCGAGAACACCGAACAACTCGCCAACTGCAGTGGCTAACCTTTACCCCAGAATACGATCCTCAAAACGATTAACATCTAGGTTCCCCAATTACTGCTGGGTAGACAGAGGCAAATAGCGTAAAGAAACTTGCCCATAGTTTCACATACACACACACACACTAACGCACACACACACTCACGCACACACACACGGACACGCACGCACGCGTACACACACACATACACCTACACACTACACACACACACAGTCTCCAAACCTGGGCCACCAACAACCACGTCACCATCAACCATACCAAGACCATGGTTATGCAAATCAACCTCTCCTCCGACGTTGTCCCACCCCCTTCCATTACTTTAGGTCCCAACACACACACAGGTTGTAGATTCCACTAAGCTCATCGGCGCCACCATAGACAACAAACTAAATTGGAAACCACACGTCAGTGAAGTTGTCAAATCCTCCAGTTTCCGTCTCCACCTCCTCCGCCGACTCAAGTCCCTCGGAGTTCCTGCACCCGAGCTCCTCAGTGTTTACTCAATATTCATACTTCCCAAGCTCACCTATGCCTCCCCCACCTGGTCTTCCTCCCTAAATGCCACACAACGTAAACACCTAGAAAAAGTGCAAAAGAGGGCATGCAAGATTATTCTCTCCCCTTCCTACTCCACATATCAAGAAGCGCTCAACACACTGACCCTTTCGACTCTCACTGACCATCACCACGACCTCATCTGCAAATTTGGTGAGAAGTTTCTGCACCATCCTCGACGCCGGTTCCTACTACCACCTGAGATCCCTAGCCCGAGAATTGCTGTTCAACACCACAACCGCATCCAGCCCATACGAGCACGAACTGATCGCTATAAGAGCAGCCCAGTCCCAACCATTGTAAAAATTATCAATAACTTGTAAAAAAAACCCCAGTGTATTCACTCCCAGTAAATCCTACTTTTTGCACTGTCACTATGGTGAAATGCCTTGTAGTTTGAGCTTCTCCCCACCTAGTTATTATATATCTTATTTGTATCACTAATGTTACTTGTATATTATTTGTAAATCAAGAGACCCATTCCCCAATTATGTAACTGTATATTTTCAGCCTTCTGGCTGCCATGCTCTTTCAATAAACCGTTAATTATTATTATTATTATTATTATTACACACACACACACACACACACACACATCATAAGCCGTATCTTCTTCCCGTTATAATTCACTGATTTATGAAGGTCATATAAAGTGATAAAACCTAACCAGTGTATCACGTGAGTGGCGACACCAGCCTCCACGATAACCTCCCCTCTACCCGGTCTGTAGGAGGAGGAGGAGTGTAGGAAGATGAAGAAGAGAAGGAGGAACAAAAGGAGGAGGGGGAGGAGGATGGTAATGGTTGGTATGGAGTGAAACAGAAGGTATGCATCTATATGGAACATCCGCGTCACCTTCACAACAACGACCATAATCAGATCACGCACTGTATTACAACGCCCCCCCGTCGTCTCCCACACTTTACACCCACTAACAACACCCTCCATCCTACCATTTCCACCGTACACCAATTATACACTATAAGAAGCATTTAGCGACCTTCTCAGCTTCCCAGACCTTACTTCCTGCTTTTGGTTGCCGTCACCGCCTGCCCAAGTGTGCCACGGAAACCTTCCCCCTTACCCACCACCGCCGCCTCCCCCAACATCTAAAAGAAAATAACAAATCCAAGAAGGAAAATCAGGGGTAGTGTGGGATGGTGACTAAGAGTTTTGGGTTGGTGACTTAAGTCGTGTAGGGTGGTGACTTAGGTTGTGTGGGATGGTGACCAAGGTTGTGTGGGGTGGTGACCTACAGACTCATCTGGGGTTGGTAGCTATGGTCGTGTAGGGTGGTGACTAAGGTCATGTGAGGTGGTGATTATGGTCGTGTGGGATGGTGACTAAGGTCGTGTGGGATGGTGACTAAGGTCGTGTGGGATGGTGACTAAGGTCGTGTGGGATGGTGACATAGGTCGTCTGGAATGGTGATCATACAGGTCACCATGCTACACGACTCAGGTAAATCAACCCAGAGAAGAATAACCTGACCTCCACTTGGCCCAGCGTGAAGACTGACCTAACACAACCTGGCCCTTTGTGTGAGGGATTACTGGCCAGTGTCACACCATGTACACCTCTTATTGCGTGGAGGAGGAAGAGGAGGAGGATTAATATGGAGGACAAACATTTTTTTCCGTTCAGTACATAACGGAGTGAAGAGTGAGAGGGACACGAAGCGGGGGGAGGGGGACGTGAGAGGGAAAGGGAGACGTGGTGGAAAAGGCGGGACGTGAGGCAAATGAAAGATGGAATAGGATGGTGAGGAAGACAGGAGTAGCAAGAGTTTGAGGTGAGAAAATGACGAGAATAAGAAAAGAACTGAAGAAGAGGAAATGTGGTAGAGAGGAAGGGGAAGAAGAGTGAGAGCTGCGAAGAGGGAAGTGAAAGAAATGGTTAGGATAGGGAGAGGAAAAGATGAGGCAGAGGAGAAGTCAGAGGTCCTGAGGAGGAAGAGTTAAGGTTGAGGTAGAAGAAAAACTCAAGGACGGAGGAGAAAAAGTTAAATTGAACAAGTATATTAGGATATGAGAGAGAGAAAGAGAGAGAGGAGCAAACAAATGGAGGTAGTGTAATAAAAAGAGGCTCCCCGTTCTCAGTTGGCGTGACGACCCCACCTCTCCTTCCACGCGCCCCACAAGGACAACATGAAGGTTGGAGAAGGTGATAGTGATGGGGGGGGGGGGGT